TCATTAATTTTAACGAAAGTATAATAATAATTGAAGGTGCTTACCTTTCATGAATAGTATCCTATTTTCTAGAATTCGGATAATTATTAATGTATCCAAGGTGTTTACTTTCCTCCAAAGAAAGTTTTAATGTGATACTTATAATCATCATTGGATCCATTGTTATTTACGTTTTATTTATATTGAATTATTCAGAATTTTTTGATTTTCGGAATCAAGTTTATTCATCTTCTAAAATATTCATTTACATTTTATAAAAATTTTTATATCATAATAGCTAATTTAGTAGTGATTTGATTAATCGTTTTAATATTATAATAATTTTCGCATAAAAATGGAAGTTCGCTGCACTGAATGTTCGAAAACGGTATTATCAAAATTTATCAACAGACATTTTGAATTTGTTCACAGTACAAAGTTAGTAAGTTATGGTTGTCCTGTAAATTTATGCAATAGAAACTTTATCAGTTGTAATAGCCTTCATAATCATTATAAGAAGTATCATTCAAAAGTAGAAGATTCAATACATATCGAAACACCATTAAAAGATGACACTACTGTTGTAGCACATACATCAAATGATGATATTGAATTAATGGAAACTGAATCATATCCTGTCACTAGCGATAATAATTATGTAATCAACGATTGTCCATCATTTTTTGAAAATGCTTTAGAAATCGCTGCGTCGTTGTATGGTAATACAAAAATAGACCATAAACAATCTGAGCAGATTATAAATAAATTTGACATTATAATGAACTGTAAATTCATCAATGATTTGAAAGATTTAGTAATGACACATATTGATAAATCTATTGCAGAAAAGGTTGCAATGCAATTTCATGACTTACAATCAAGTTTTTCAAAATTAAATACAAAACAAAAATTTAAAACTCAACTAAAGATATGTGACAAATTTATCGAAACAAAAAATGTAATTTTCGGTTATAGAGAAGAATATAAATCAGGAATTTTAACCTATGTCAAAAATACAGGTTCTGTAGTGTCTCTAGCACAAATTTTGAAACAATATTTTGAAATCCCAAATTTATTTTCTGAAACGATAAATTATATCAAAAAGTTACAGTTAGATAATAATATAACCAATATCGTTCAAACTCAATTATAGAAATCGAAAATACAAAAAGATCCAAATAGTCTTATATTGCCGTTATTTTTATATGAAGATGACTTTGAGTGTGGAAATGCTTTAGGTCGCCATGCAACAATGAATAAAATGTCCGGTATATATATTTCAATACCATGTCTCCCACCACAATTCAGATCGAAATTGAAAAATATATTTTTATTTCAAATCTCATATTCGAATGATAAAAAAGAATATTCAGCTGATATAAGATATAGCGAAGTAATTAAACAATTAAATATCTTAGGTAGTGATGGAATATGTATCAATGTTTCACAAAAAGATATTAAGATATATTTTAAGCTAGCTTTAATTATTGGTGATAATTTAAGTTTAAACACAATGCTTGGTTTCACTGAAAGTTTTAATGCCAGCTATTTTTGTAGATTTTGTAAAGTTAAAAAACAGTTATCAACTACATTGAATGTCATTGAAAATGATTTACTACGTGATAAAAATAATTACGAATTAGATGTGATAGCAAACGATATGAAAAAAACAGGAATCAAAGAAAAATATGTTTGGAACAAAGTTCACGATTTTCATGTCACTGATAATTTTTCAGTAGATATAATGCATGATTTATTTGAGGGTGTATGTAATTATGGTTTAGGTTTAATTTTATATTATTTAATTAAAGTAGAAAAAGTCATAAGTTTGGAATCTCTCAATTTCAAATTAAAGTATTTTACTTACGCAAATCAATCTAATAGACCTGTTTTAATAACTGATAACCAAATTGATGATCAATATATTAAAATGTCAGCTGCAGAAATGAAATGTTTTATTTTAAATGTCCATTTAATTATCGGTGATTTAATACCAAAAAAAAATAGTTATTGGAATTTGTGTACGTTACTTCGAAAAATAGTTTGTATAGTATTGAAATCAAAAATAAATGACGACGATATTAATACACTTCAGAATAATATTAAGAAGCATCATTCACTGTACGTAAAACCTTTTGGCGATTGATTGAAACCTAAACATCATTTTATGTTACATTACTCTCAAATTATGAAAATGGTAGGTCTTTTAGTTAATCTATGGTCTATGCGTTTCGAAGCAAAACATCAAGAATTAAAGCGTAGTGCATTAGTGTCACATAACAGAATAAATTTACCAGTAACAATTTCTACTAAGCAGCAGTTTCATATGTTTACATTGTTTTCTATAAAGAACGATTTTTATTCACCCATTGAATACAAAGAAGGTGGTCCTTTACTAGAAAAACGTGTTACTGAATTTCTTTCAAATATTATATTAGATTCTTTCACCTACATAAAATATGTATGTATTAATGATATTAAATACGAAATTAGTACTATCGTTAAAATTGATAATGGTATTTATCCAAAATATTGAACATTTTGAAAGAAAAATCTTACGATTCAGATATCTGATGCAATTTGCATTTATTGTAAAAATTTTGAATAGTACAAAAAAAAATGAGCATTTACAAAGTTATGAAGTTGTACATGAAGATAAGTTCCAATTTATATATTATCATTCACTATCATATTTTGAACCACGAAACATGGTAGTTTTGTCAAATGGTAAATCTTACATTCCATATGATGATTATATGTTTTAATAATGAAGCCAACATTATCATTTATATATTCGTAAAGTATATAAAATTCCAAATTTGAAATAATTACAATTATTATCAAAGGTATTAGATCGATGAGCTAGTTATGTAGTTATCGATTATAAAAGATTATTATTTGAACATTCTTGATATTTGTTCTACAAACTTTTAATATGATGATTTATTGTGATAAGAAAAAATTACATAAAAGTTTATAATTAAGGTAAATAATTCATGTTAATTTTTCATGTTGTATACTACACATAGTATGGGATATGATGAGATTTTATTGCCGATATTATAAAACATTTTCATATTTAACTCATTTATGTTCATAAGGGGTCGTCCTTTCACATTTTTAAGAGATTAATTTTTTTTTTTTTTAATAGTAATAACTTATAACATAGTATTCACAGAAGTTGTTTAGAAATATTCAAAGTTAATTAATGTAGAAAAAATGAATACCCCAAAAGAACTGGTATGAAAAATAATACGTAGAAAATTGAATAAATGGAGTTTTTTTAAATACTTATTATTCTTATATTCCAAATAATGATTATATGTTTTATTAGTGAGTCAAATTTAATATATTTATTAAGCATGTTAAATTTTAAATCGAAAAAATGATAATTATCGACAAAGTATTGATTATAAAATATAAAAACTGTAGTATAATAATGTGAACTAATGAAAAATATTTATTCGAGCTATAAAATATACAGTAAAATGTACTGTAAATGAAATGTACAAAGAACTAGTAATGTAACAGTTCGAAAAACCACTATTTGTATGTTCCTATAGCAATAAATGAATATTTCATATAATTATTATTTACTTGTTACCATAACTATCGTCCGTCGTTTCAAATAACACTTTATTTTCAGTTCCTATAACATTATAAATATATGTATTTGTTCTGACTTGGAGGGGCCCAAGTCAGTTAGTCAGGAATAATCAAAATTTCGTAATGCTGGACTTGTCCACCGGCGCTCCAGTCAACTCACTGGACCAATCATCGGGAAGTATTTCCCTCATGGCCCAGAAGGCAACTCTACGGCCCTAGTGACGCCAACAAGCACGCGGTAGAGCACTTGTGGCGTCAGTTAGCTCCAGGCAAATCACGCAGTCATCTCTGTACAATAGTTCGCAGTCGAATCGCAGATTTTTCAGTCAGCTCACCTTTTGTAGTTACAAGTACGGTCAAATAGACTCAGACAACTCTCACGAAGATACGTGAATCATCAAATTACTCTCATCAGTGCCAGTGGTCCAGTACATTCAGTTTGTAGTGCCTTTGGGCGCGAAGCTGAACTGGCGTCGACGCCATAGTGCCTCACGGACATTCACCTATACATCGCTCCCCCGAACAACTCTGGTGTATACTGTGAATGTTGCTATTCACTGTTTTTTTAAAACTATGTTATTTGGTGAAAAAATAACCATTAGACAACTCATAAGTGTACAAACAATTATGGTACAGTCAACTCAACTATATGTAGTGATTATTAACTTCTATTGAGTATGTTAAGTGTTATTGTTGAATAAAAACTATAAAACCCAAGCAATTCAGTGTTAATAAACTATTTTTAGGAACCTTCTAGCATCCAACCTTTTGTTCTTATTCTGCTCTCAATTCATACAGTCCACTAGTTTTCAGTTTGCTCATTCGGCCGACTCGAAGTCAGAACATTTGGTCCTTCGAGCCGGATAAGAACGGCTTGGATGCATATCGAACAATTCTAGAAGGTTCTAGGGCTTCATAATTTTGTGAATATTTTGTGAAATGCTCTGTATAAAGTGCTTGGAATTTAGTTAGACTCAAATAACTTTCAGTGTCAGTGTGTAAACAACCTTACAGACAAAAGGTGTTTACGCATTCCAGTGCCCAGTGACACTCATCTGTATTATTGTGAGACAGTGGTGCTCATCTCACAACTTAAACAATTTCTTGAGACGCTTGGCGCGCAGTTTGGTTGTGTGAGAGTCAAGATAACCTTGACGCAGTCAACTCACGTGTATATAAACATAGTTCGGTAATTATTGTAGTGTCCTTAGTGTAAGTTTAGTCACCTAAAATTATTATTAAGAGCTCGTAGACTCAGTTAATTAATTTGTGTGATTCTTTTGGTGTTGAGACTTTCTTGAAAGCCCACCATTGGTATCAAGGTGACAGCAGACAACTCTAGCATCAGTTTTTGTGCATTTTTTTTTGTGATAAGAGTAATTATAGTGACATTAGACAACTCATTTAAGTAAATCATGGCAGATAAACGTGTAATTTCTCCTGCCAAGTCGGACTTCATAGATGTAGCTGACGACAACGACTCAATAGAGGGTATGGCCCAGGCCAAGAACCGCAGCCAACTCAACCAGGTTAACAGCCATCAACCTCCCAGCAGTGAGGTGATGATGTGCCATTTCCACAGCCGACTCCAGATCACACCCATTCATCTAAGCAGACTTCTCACCAGGTAACTCATCTTCATAGTCAACTCTCTGCAGTCAACTCTAATTATGTTTTAGTCAATTCTCCAAGTGGTGGTGTGATCACTCAACATGCAGACAACTCAACGATTAATGGTTATGAATCATGTCAATCGATATGTGCTGACAGGAGTAAAGAATGCTTCTCTGATGACTCGACGGAAAGGATGACCTTAGCACATAAGGTTTCGGCCTCAGGAGGGTTGAGGGTCCTGGAAGAAGAGTCAGAAGGTCTCGTTTGATCTCCTACAGCTGAAGAAAAGAGTTAAACTCACACTAGTCAAATCTCAGACGACTCACATGATTCAACAATCACCAAGAACACTACAGACAACTCAGATATCCATGGAAGACTCTCTTCAGCACTCAGGGCAGCAGAAGATCCATGCACTAACGAGTCTCCAGTTCAATCAGACAGCTCAGCAGTCTTACTCGCCACAGCCAATGCAGTATTACTTTCAGACTACTCTCAGCTTCCAGTAAGACTCCTGATAGACTCAGGGTCTGAGCTGACGTTCATCTCATCAAGTGTGGTAAAGACTTGTCATCTCCAACGTCGTCCATCAGTAATATCAGTGCTGGGAATTGGTAACGAACCAGCTGTACAAACTAGAGGAGTGACAGCAGTGACACTTAGATCAACTCACACACAGGAGCAAGTTACAATTAATGCTCATATTCTCAAATGTGTCACTGGTACTTTACCAACCAGACAACTCAAGGAACTCAACTGGTCAGCTCTCAACTCTCTGCAACTTGCTGATCCAGACTACTCAACTCCAAGACCCATTGACATCTTAATAGGAGCAGATTGTTATGGTCTGATTGTGAAAGCGGGCATCAAACAATGTACGCAGTCATCTCTAATAGCCCAAGAGTCCATCTTTGGATGGATGCTCATTGGAATGCCACAACAGACAAGATGCTCAACTGTGAGAACTCATCACGCAGCAAGGGTCAACTCATACCAGCAAGTATCTGATCTCTTGACAAAATTCTGGGTTCAAGAAGAAGTTCCAGAGACTTCAGCCAGCCAACTCAGCCCAGATGATCAATCTTGTGAAGATCATTATGTTACGACTCATTCAAGAGATCAAGATGGGAGATATATTGTGAGAATACCACTCAAAGCATCACCATCTCTTCTAGGCAACTCATCCGCGAGAGCTCATCAGTGTTTACTACACATGATCAGACGACTCACAAAGAATGACTCATATGCACAACTCTATCACAACTTTATGCAAGAATACGAGTCACTGAACCACATGACACGAGCCAAGGCAAGTCCAGTCAACTCTCCAGTGTATTATTTGCCTCATCATGGTGTCTTAAGAGAAGACAGTGTTACTACAAAGCTTAGGGTAGTATTTAATGGCTCTAGTCCATCTTCTAGTGGTCTATCAGTGAACGATATTCAACATACTGGTGCCAAAGTCCAGAAAGACATTGCAGACGTACTCATTTGGATCAGGCAGCATAAATTTGTGTTTACATCAGACATCACAAAGATGTACAGGCAAATCAAAGTCCACCAAGATGATTGGGATCTCCAGAGAATCCTGTGGGTGGACGAGCACTCCAAGATAATCCCATATCAACTCACAACGGTCACGTATGGTACCAGGTCAGCCCCATTTCTGGCTGTTCGTACAATGATCCAGCTAGTAAAGGATGAAGGTCATAAGTTCCCTCTAGCTGTTGATCCACTACTAAAAGGAAGATATGTGGACGATATTTTTGGAGGTGCTGACACCGTGAGTCAACTGATAGACATCTCAACCCAAGTCAGACAACTCTGCATGGCAGGTGGCTTCCCGTTAGCGAAATGGCACAGCAACTCACTTCAATTCCTTCAATCAATTACAGACAACTCACCAGAAGAGCAGATCCACTCATTTGAGAGCAGCAAAACGAAATTACTTGGGCTCTCGTGGATTCCAGCGAACGACTCATTTAAGTTCAACTCAAAACCTCCTCGTGAGAAGTCCAAGCTCACAAAGAGAATAATTTTATCAGAAACAGCACAACTCTACGATCCACTTGGATTTCTAGCACCCTTCATTGTCAGAGCAAAGATGTTGCTACAAGAAATCTGGCTAGATAAACTTTCCTGGGATGACCAAGCCCCAGATCACATTATCACCAAGTGGAACAGCTTCAGATCAGAACTCTCACATGTTTCAGACCTCTCAATTCCACGATGGTTACGGATTACTCAGAAATCGACCGTGGAACTTCATGGTTTTTCAGACGCCTCACAAGCAGCTATGGCAGCTGTTGTTTACATACGGGCTACTCATCCAGATCATGGAACTTGTTCAACTATAGTCTGCTCAAAGTCTAAGGTTGCTCCATTGAAGAAGATGTCTATTCCCAGACTCGAACTCACCGCAGCATTGCTGCTTGCCAGACTAATTACTTATGTAAGGACCAACTTAGACATTCAGCCAACTCAACTCGTATGTTGGACAGACTCCTCAGTGACTTTGACCTGGATTCAGTCTCACTCATCCCGTTGGAAGGAGTTTGTGAGAAACAGAGTGTCAGCAATTCAAGATCTCACTCCAATCAGCGTTTGGAGGTTTGTACCTGGCAAACAAAATCCAGCGGATTGTGCTTCTCGAGGTATCAGCATATCCCAGCTTCGGAAGCACCCCCTGTGGTGGACAGGACCACAGTGGTTAACAGCAGACGAATCATTATGGCCAACTCAATCATCAGTGTACGATTCAAAAGCTCAGCAGGAAGAGCGGCCCGGGCTCACTTTACTTACTCAGACAATTCAACATGATTATCATTGGGATATGATATACAGACATTCTCGGCTAATCAAATTGCTCAGAGTGACTGCAATTTGCTTCAGATTTAGCCAACTCCTCAGACGAGTACCGCAGTCATCTCTCACCTTCCCTCTCACGCCACAAGAATTAGAGAGAGCAAGGATTTTTTAGATAAAGGCAACTCAAGAATCGTACTTCTCACAGGAAATCAAACAGATCAACTCAAATTCACTGCCCGTCTCACACCCCCTCGCACGATTGACAGCATTTATTGACACTCAAGGAGTCATACGTGTTGGAGGGAGGTTAGCAAATGCTAGCTTGGACCAAGAAGCAAAGCATCCTGCAATCCTACCACAGAAAACTCATCTTTCCAGACTAATCATTGCAGATGCTCATGAAAGAACATTGCACGGTGGGACGCAGGCAACTCTGAACCTCATACGATCATCGTACTGGATCATTGGCGGACGACTCCCAGTACGATCCTATATTTATCATTGTATGAAATGTGCTCGTTTACGTGGCGAACGAGCGAAGCAGTTAATGGGTCAATTGCCGTTATCAAGAATCACTCCAGCCCGACCATTTGCCGTCTGTGGTGTGGATTACGCTGGTCTCATCACGCTAAAGACTTGGAAAGGCAGAGGCGCCAAAACATCTAAGGGTTGGATGTGCATTTTTGTGTGCTTCGTTACTTCTGCGCTTCATGTAGAAATTGTAACAGATTATTCAGCAGACTCATTTATTGCAGCGTTCAGAAGGTTCACTGGACGTCGAGGTGTCTGCAGAACTCTCCACAGTGATTGTGGCACCACATTTCAAGGCGCAGACACGCTCATCAGACAACTCTTCAAGCAGGGGACTCAACAGTTCAGTCAACTCGCAGCTGTATTTGCAAAGGATGGAACTGATTGGAAGTTTAATCCACCAGCTGCACCACATATGGGAGGAAAATGGGAAGCTGCAGTCAAATCAGTAAAGTTCCATCTTAACAGAACGATAGGCGACTCACTCTTTACATATGAAGAGCTTTCCACACTGCTTGTCCAGATTGAAGCAGTCCTTAACTCCAGACCACTCGAACCTCTCTCAGCCGACTCTACAGACATCTCAGCATTGACTCCAGCACACTTCTTGGTTGGTGAACCGCTAGTAACATTACCAGAGCCTTCACTAGAAGATGTGCCAATGCCACGCTTGTCCAGGTGGCAATTTATTCAGCAGCGACTCCAATCGTTTTGGTCAACGTGGTCAAAACAATACCTTCAGCAGCAACTCGCCATTTCCAAGTGGAAACACCCCGCTCACAACATCACAGTCGGCTCACTTGTACTACTCACTGACGAGAGGTTCCCACCAACGAAGTGGCCTCTCGCCAGAGTGATTGAGGTGTTCCCAGGATCAGACGGACTCATCAGAACAGTCAAACTCAGGACAGCAACAGCAGAACTCGTCAGACCACTCACAAAACTAGTCATCTTACCATACACTCCACCAGCAGAAGATCAGCAAAGGCGTTGCTGATGGTGGGACAATGTTCTGACTTGGAGGGGCCCAAGTCAGTTAGTCAGGAATAATCAAAATTTCGTAATGCTGGACTTGTCCACCGGCGCTCCAGTCAACTCACTGGACCAATCATCGGGAAGTATTTCCCTCATGGCCCAGAAGGCAACTCTACGGCCCTAGTGACGCCAACAAGCACGCGGTAGAGCACTTGTGGCGTCAGTTAGCTCCAGGCAAATCACGCAGTCATCTCTGTACAATAGTTCGCAGTCGAATCGCAGATTTTTCAGTCAGCTCACCTTTTGTAGTTACAAGTACGGTCAAATAGACTCAGACAACTCTCACGAAGATACGTGAATCATCAAATTACTCTCATCAGTGCCAGTGGTCCAGTACATTCAGTTTGTAGTGCCTTTGGGCGCGAAGCTGAACTGGCGTCGACGCCATAGTGCCTCACGGACATTCACCTATACATCGCTCCCCCGAACAACTCTGGTGTATACTGTGAATGTTGCTATTCACTGTTTTTTTAAAACTATGTTATTTGGTGAAAAAATAACCATTAGACAACTCATAAGTGTACAAACAATTATGGTACAGTCAACTCAACTATATGTAGTGATTATTAACTTCTATTGAGTATGTTAAGTGTTATTGTTGAATAAAAACTATAAAACCCAAGCAATTCAGTGTTAATAAACTATTTTTAGGAACCTTCTAGCATCCAACCTTTTGTTCTTATTCTGCTCTCAATTCATACAGTCCACTAGTTTTCAGTTTGCTCATTCGGCCGACTCGAAGTCAGAACAGTATTAGAACTAAATATATATAGATAATAGAACTAGTAAAAAAAAGTCAATTCAACTATTTGAAAGATACTGTTTTATCTTCATTAATGTAGTTCATCTAACCTATTACTTATTCGTTGCTTCAACTAATATGGAATGGTTATGAAGACCAAGGATCTCCAGTTCATCAAACTGTATTAACATAGTTGTAGAAACTCATATTTTATATACAATACACCTATTTATAAATGATTATCATAATTATTTTAAATAGTTGTCGTAACTAATTATTTTGATCTCTGTTAACTATATATTTCTCATTACATTAACTATTCTGTTATAGTTGCTACAATAATAAATTTATATTTACGATAACTCTTATACGCCTAGTTATGTCAACTATTTTTTTATAGTTGTCACAACTAGATAAGCTGAAGTTGATGAATTTTCAACTGTTTTCCTTTAGTTGCTGCAATTATAATTTGATATTTCCGATAACTCATATATGCCAAGTTGTATCAACTATTTTTTGGTAGTTGTCACTACTCGGACTTTTTATTTACAGTAGCTTTTATGTCTCTAGTTAATTCAACTATTTCCTTATAGTTGCTACAATAATAGATTTATATTTACGATAACTCTTATACGTCTAGTTAAGTCAACCATTTTTTTAAAGTTGCAACAACTATAACTATCAACCATTTTCAACAAGTTGTCACAACTCTTTTACCCAAAGCTGATGAATTTTCAACTATTTAAAAATAGTTGAGGTAACTATTAATTTCTCTGGGTGTATTATATGCTGTTAATACACACTTTCTGTTGAAAGTTATCAAAAAATTATAAAAATTAGTAAGTCCTTTTTGCAGTGTAATCGAATCAACTCGTGTACCATCGAATAATAAACATCCGTTGTGTATAGTAAGTCATTGACAGCCGAAGCAATTTCAGAAATGCGATGAAGTGGATTATTATAAGTTAAGAATGAAGAAAAATCTGGTAGATCAAAACATTTTGCTGCAATCCGAAGGTTTTCTCCATTTTTCCCAAAATCGGATGTTTCCAAATCGAAGTAGACTACAGCTATTGAGTCATTTTCAAATGAAGCAATGTTTGCAATATTAATTTCATTTTCCTTATTTATAAGTCCCATGTTAGACTCATAAATTACTCCTTCAGATTTTTCTTTCCTGTGACGAAGCTGAGTTTTTCTGGCTTCAATAATAGGGGACGTTTTTTTAATTCAGGTTCTTTCACTCTTAAACTTCGCTGTTGAGCTGTTCTAGTGGCCTTCTCTATATGTTTAGATGTATTTTTACCAAGAGACATATTTAATCATCTAGCGATTTCTCCAATATACTCTTCTCCAATATTTTTCTGGCAGACTGAATAAGCATATCGAAGAGAAGCAGATTCAGATGTACTATAGCATCGCGATTTTGGTGCCTTACTTGCCATAGTGGCATTCAAGCTTTCATTAGTTTGACTTGAAGCAACAGCTATAAACTTATGTGCATTGTCAGCAAATCTTTGAAATAAAACTCTTAAATCATTGAGTAATGATTCACTATGAAGACCTTCTCCAATAACACGATGTTTATAATTAACTGGATTCTAATGTTATTGACACCAATCTCCACAATTTGAGTGATTATTGAAACAATGTTCTAGTATATTGCGGATCGAAGATACCATTTCCGAGAGGCAACCTTGATTTTGTGCTAATGAATTTGTGAAGCAACGGTGAAGATACTGTATCGTATCTTTTGTCAACTCTTTGTGACGAGGTTTCAATTCATATAGTTCATTAGTTACACCTTTACTAGTATGATTTTTATCCGAGAATTTTATAACTTCGTGATTACTGTTATAACGTACTGCAGCAATAGTTGAGCAGTAGTCATCACCAATAAATACACCTAATTCCATATTACATTCTTTTAATATCGAACGATTAGCAGTAATATCAATTGCAGCTGCAGGCTCTATTGCCTTTGCGCTGCCTACAAAATTTAACCGACAATCATGATCTTTACGAGGATGTCTAAGATCACATTTCCTACATTTTCGTTGTTTCACGACCAATCAAGGATCCAAATCCATTAAGACCATCATAACTCTCACCGGTTTCTCTAGTACTCCAACCTAAATCCCAAGAACCAGCACACCGAAGAATGAATTATTTATCACTATTATTGTTAGCATCCGATACTATGAATCCCGATTTTAAATGGTCAGGTCTGTAGAAATAGAAGAAGAGTGACGGTTAATGATGAAAATATACCTACCCAAGATAACATATAGTCAATACTACAAATTTGTATTATTTAAGAGTATATTTTATTGAAATAATCACTTGTATATAATATAATATGCTTGCATGATTTCTTAAAAATATGTTTGGTGTAAATATTTGAAATTTATTTCACAATTAATTAAATAAAAATTTACTTATTATATATACAATTACAAAATATAAATCAGTTATTTCCAATAAAATATACAAAAATTGGAAGATGAAGTGCATAAAGAATGCACTTTGAGTAAATATTTTGAACCTATATTGTCATCAAGTGACAAAATATGTCTATATATTGTATATACAATGATTGAATATGAATTTACATAAATTAAATAGATAAAGATATATGTGAATATGATAAAAATTGACATAATTGTAAAAATAATTTCGCCGGCTACACCAACTTCTCTCTCATGAGTTTCAAATACTTTGGAGCTGACATGATATATCCATAGCCGCGAAAAATTTATTTACTTGTATGTTACCCATTCCAGTGTGGAGAGCACCTGCAAATTTAATTATTGAATAGATTCAATAATAATATAGAATATATATAATTAGAAAATAGTTCATAAACATATAATACTAACCATTTGCCATTTTCGTATTTAATATAAATATTCGTAATGTTCTTTTTTCGTAGTTGACGTATGTACCTTATCTGAAAATATCTTGTTCATTGTTAAACATTTTCGGCATTTAATGTTAAAAATTGTAGCAATGCCTTTTGCTTTTGTACTAATTGTGTCTTCCATTGATAAAATTTCTTCACAATCAGAACAGAACAAATTCTTAGATAATTCTCTCATGTGAAAGATACGGCGTCTATTGATACAGTTAGCGAGGTTAGGAATTGATTCATCACGTATTTTTTTTCCTTAGATTTTTGCTTACTTCTGCTAAACGAACACGATTCAAGTACACTTTTTCAGTCACTCTTTTCCCTTTTCACATATATGATTTTTTTCTTTCATTTATTTTCAACTGATTATAAACTTTTCTCTCTCGAACATCTGTATGAATTTATCCATGTAAATGACACTGCCGTCGTAAAAAACTACACACGTAAAAAAGACGTACGTGAAGATAGCTAAATATCAGAAACTTCAGAGTGCTAACTTTACAAAGAAGCAACGTTGCACGATCTAATTAGTAAATTTAGTCATAATAAAAATTCAATTTCTACATATAATTTATTGTTATTGACTTGATTATTCTTTTTTTGTAATTTTTAGAACATTTTCTTGTTATTCAAGAAGTTTAATAGATGAATATAATCATAAATACAAAAGTATGCATTTTATTATCTAAGAGTGGTAGTTACTACTCAAGAACTAATTCTCGTAAAGAATATTTCTTATTTAAATGATATTTATCGATTTTAACAGTGATAAATTGATGATACAAGTAATATTTATTTAATATTTAATATCCTACAACTTTTTTTTAGAAACAATCGACGATTATCTATATTTTAAAATATTTTGTAATCATAAACTTTCGATTTAGACGGTACGGGGGCAACTTCTTTAACTAAATTATTTAAGTTGAGTTTATTACATTTTAAATTATTATTCTAAGCTCTGTGGATAGTACACAGAGCTTCCATTTTGCCGTTCGGGGTTCAATTCCGTTTTGAATCACATTTTTTTTTATTTTACCTTTGTCTTCGTAAAAAATATTAATATAATATGTAAATAAAAGCAAAGTTATTTTTATTCATCATGACTTTCACTTTTTCTCTTATTTATTCAACGGATTTTTATTTAAAATCACACAGTTCTTCAAATTCTTGGAAGACTATATACGAAAACGTTACATTGTTAAAGTCTCAATGTTTACGTTTTGTTTACAGTATCTTTCTCTTCCGTTCTTTATCGTCAATAGTTTTTTGTTTAACCGTTGAAATATCCCCCAAACCGTCTTTGACT